TAAGCAGTGCAGAGCAAGAAGGAGACACCAAATCCACAGCCCTAGAGAAACAAGATACATAAAGGACTTGCTCCGGCCGTTAGTACAGCATCCTCTCCCTTACCAGCTACTTGGCATTCCAGCAGGGTGGGTTAATCCTTTGCCTTTGATGAATCTTTAATCTTGGCACCTTGTGGCTGAAGCCAGCACTAACTAGCAGATCCTGGCGATCAAAGTCATGCACTTAAATATTTAATTTATAAATAAAAAATAAAAAAATAAAGACTTGGCTTCATAATAGAAATAAGGCAACTCCAGGGGCGTTGTTATTGCCAATTAATCACACTCTTGGGACTGATGAAGAGCTCCATTGCTCCTTGTAACTCTAATTGCCCTATGGGTGCAATTATCCATACCCCTCTTCCTCTCCCTGTCCAGCCTGATCTTATGGCTTACTTCCACATTAGGCTTTCTAGTTTTTAACCTCTGTTTCTAAGAGCTATCTTTCACATAGTCCTGATTGGTGATGGAGAATGCTAAGACTAATTCTCCTCATGTGCACATTCACCGTGGCTAGCTACAGCACAGGTGTGTTTGCCCCTGCTTCCACATGCACAGGTCTGGGGAATGGCAGAAGGCAATTCATGGACACTGTCTTTTTGGATCTGCTCTGCAGCTCACATCCAAGGAAGCACGTAATACTCATGTCCTACCAGGGACCTCAAACTTCCTACTGAATCAGGAGCCTCTATTCAGATCTTGGGCTGGATCTGAGCCACGAAACTTTGAGCACAAACAACACTATTTTTGCTGCTTTGAACATCTGGCAAATACTAGAACTAATCCTGTTAAAGACACATACTCTTTTCTGCAATATTTACTACTGAAGCATTTCCCAATTTGTGGCTTGGACTTGAGCCACAAAACACCTAAACCTGCAGATGCAGAGACATGTGGCACTGCCATGGGACTGTCAAGGACAGGTATCTGGGGAAACGGAAGAACACAGGGCTCTTTAATTTAACAGATGAGGATGTAGAAAGAAACACAACGTAGAAAATGAAGTCTGACATGCAAAGTAGAAATGAGGTGCCCCTTTTAAAGAGCAATTAACTATCAGAAATCTTTATCAAGTTTTATGGAAGATGTGCTGTCATCTAAATGCTTTAAAGTGGGATTGGATATTTTCCTACAATATACTTTACTTCAACAATATCTCTTGGATTTGTATTGAGAAATAATTCAGAGAAGTCTGAAGGCTTGTTTTATGTAGCAGGCTGGCATAGATTGTCACACCAGACTCTTCTGGGCTTAAAATGCATGAATTATTGAGGTCTGATACTGGGTCTCCACGGCAAAGGTTGCTTTCTCTGAAAGGCTCATGCCTTTAAAGGTTCACTTGTAGCTTCTTGTAATGTTCATCACCTGCTGTAGTGGAAGCCCAGAGCTTTGAATTCAGGGCTGTAAGAAAAAAAAAATCAAGGACTGGATTCAGACTGTACATGTTTTGTGCCTGATCTGCAGTTGGTCACCCTGCTATGCCTAACCATGTGAATTGAGGGCTGCAAAGAGCTGTCACACTGCAAGTTCAGAGCTCTTTATTTCCTTAAAGAAACCTGGTCTGCAACAATAAAGTTTTCCACACATTTTTATTCTTTAATACATTCTCAGCTGGTATAGAGGAGCAGAGCTCCCTTAACTTCAGCCAAGATGTAGCAATTTACCACATCTAAGAATATGTCTCATTTCACCTCTCCATTCACTGATGGCATCACCTCTGGAGAGAAGAGAAAGGTAAATTTAATTCCCATCACCAATTCATTCCTCGCTTGCACTGCTGAGGCAACTAACAATTATTGTGGATCGCACACATATACACACAGCTTCACAGAGAATCACCAGAGTTTTCCTGCAAAGAATATGCTCTTGCTTTCATAAAAATCATAGATGGAACAACTTCTATGCCTTGTCCTTTCCTCCACCATTTAAGGCCTGGAAAACTTGCTGCTTGTGTTGTAATCATACCCAGCTGCAGGATATGTGACTGTGTTGCTTATTCCTCCCCTGTGTAATGTAGACCTCCATGCCTCACATGAGCCAGAGTCTTGTATGAGTTATATGGCTATTATGTTATAAGTAGGACTGATGTATTACAGAATGCTGCCATAGATCCTATTAATGGCACTTGGGCTCTATTTTTTTTCCCCTGTAGTAAATTCTGCACTTTTTTTTGGAAATGGACAGCTTCACAAAAATGCAAAGATCCAGCATCCAGGCTGAGCTTAGGCAAAGTTCAGGGCCTGGGTGGTAGCAGAGGTTGAGGTGGTAGCAGAGCATCTCACTTTTCTGCAGTGGCAGGATCTCCATGGACATCACTAACCCTGCTGAGAAGCCAGTGTCTTGTCCAACTGTGAACAGCACCACTGCCAAGAGCTGACAACTCCATACTCCATTGCCCAAATTACTTTTAACATAATATTGCTTTCCCTTGTTCTGAATTTACAGTTACCTCAGCCCAGTGCTACCATTCATTCTTCTCTGCCCATTGACAGATTTTCTGGTATCTGCCCTTTTCCTAAAATTTTTCTTCCCAGGAGCAAGACGTAGCCTGGTATTCAGAAGCAGAGGTTTTTTTGTTTTGTTTTGTTTTGTTTTTTTATAGAAGGGTGATCTCAGAAAGAGATGAATCTGTAGCCATTTTTCAGGCTCAAACATCTTGGATCTTTGTGAGATACATACATTTCTGGGCTGTGTTCCCATTCTGCTGTCAGCCCTGCAGGAAGAACAATAAAGCCCAGGATACATACATGTAGGGAGTTGAAATCTCTTTCTGGATGTGACTCGGGCTCAGCTCTGCTCTTAATAATCAGGATTCAAACACAATCCAAATCCTTTACTTCCATGACAACCACATCCTCCTGCAACTAAGCTTTGATGAAATTTTCTCAAATTTACAGCTAGCTGCAGGAGTGTGTTTGGAGAGGAGCGTGCACATATGGAAGATGGTTGAATAGTCATCTCCTTCCTCCAATTTTGATATGAGAACAGAGGCTTTCATGAATAACCACAATGAATTGAATCTACATCAGCGAGGGGTTAGGCTGGGTGTAGGAAAAGGCTCTTCACCAGAGGTTGGGGTGTGGAACGGGATCCCAGAACAGTGGTCACAGCCCTGAGTTGCTGGAATTCAGGGAGTGTTTAGACGTGCTCTCAGACACAGGGCTTGAATTTTGGGTGATTCTGTGTGGAGCCAGAAGTTGGATTCAATGATCACTGTGGGTCCCTTCCAACTTTGGATATACTGTGTTTCTATAGTTCTGTGGAGAAAAATGGCATAGCAATATGTCTTTGTCTGTATCTATGAGGTAAACTAAGGCAGCACTTGGGCCTGGATGCTGTGTCACAGCTATACAAATTGTTGCAGGCCAGGTACTCTGTCCAGAAAGAAATTAAGATTCGCTCACTCTGTCCTGGGTAGAAGAGATTTTAGGTATGTGGATAAAAGCCGTACTGTGTCACTTGCTCCCTGGGCCAGAAAATGGGCCTTGGCTGGTTTAATTTACTAGTGTAGATACATGTTTTAAGATTGCATCGTTTGGTAATGATAACAGGACAGCGAGACATGAACGTTTAAAGATAACGATATCTCCCTCAGTCCTTCTAACAGCTCACTGCAGCTCCTCTGTATCTTACTGTTCATTTTCTTATTTCTTTCCCCTATCTTCCCTCCTTCTCAAAACCTAGCTAACATGCACTATGTCATTTCATACTAGATGTCTGAAATAGTTTTGAAAAGAGCCAGGTTCTTTGCTAAAGGGACTATGGGACTTCGATTCAGTGCTGTCTCTGCTCCAGCCTAACTGAATGTTCAGAGGAACAAGTGAGAGAACAAAGGGATGTAAAACTATGATGCAATCCCTTCCTGTCACATCTGATTTAGCAAACAAAGTCAGATGGCCTTACAAGAAAAAAAAAAAAAAAAGAAAAATAAGCATAACTACTGCTTTTGTGTTTGAACTGAAACATTAACAATCAGAGGACAGTATTGAAACAGCACAGCCAACCCATCCATCTTAGGCACATCAAGCCAAATGGAAATCCATGGTCAACAGATACAAGAAGCCTAACAACCTCGGTGTCAGTAAGACAGGCTCAGCCTGATTACAGGGAAGCCAGTGAGGCACAGGACTGGGGCCATAAATCTGGAGTGCACAGTGTGATGAAGACAGCTCTGACCAGGGGGTGGGATCCAGGGTTGGATTAGCTGAGTGAGGCACAAGGGATTAGGAAATGCAGGTCTTGAATGTGCACTGAATCTAACACTAAATTAATCAAGATCTCTTTTCAGACCTCTGATGCATCTCGTATTGCTAATGAAATAAACTATAATAATGTGGGGAGGGTTCATTAAAGGGAGGGGATGGAGAGGGAAATGAGATTGAAAAAGATTTGCATTTATATATCTCCAAGTGACTTACCCCGGTGGTTTGGAAAAAGAAGCATCACAACACCAATACGAGTGATAAAATTACGTGGCCTGAATCAGAGACATGCAAAGAGCAACAGTTTTCTGCTTTGTCACATGTCCCACATCAGGTAAAAATCTCACAAAAACTGCTAACCTCACCTGATTTCTGGCACGATGCTGGGAAGTTGCTGCCACTTTAGAGCCCATTTTATAAGATTTTGGTAAGGTGTTGTCCTTGTCAGGAATGTGTTTGCTGAGATAAGGCTTAGCTTTGACCCCAAGTCCTCCTGAATCTAGGTATGTCCTATCTGGCATCTACTTTACATGTGTTTTGCCCTAAACACAGCAACCTCTTTTAAATAAAGCAAGGCAAAGGCAGATGTAGCGGGGGAATTGATACTTCAGTGTTTGTCCTGTTGGGTGAAGATGAGTGATGAAATAGAGAGAGGGTAGGAAAGAAGGTCAGGAAATCACAACCAATTTGTCAAACTAGCCTATTTCTCCATCATTCGCATCTTTCTCCCTCTTTTTCTTTATTACTAGGGACATTAACGTGAAGGTGGTGTCCTCTCTGAGCTGCACTCCCACAGCTCCTGCTAGTGGAGCGTCTCAGAGTACCTCACTGTTATGATGAGCACATGAAGCTTCACAGCACCTTTGTGAGAGGAGTCAATATCATTAGGGATGATTGTACATTATGATACATTTTCTAAAGCTCCATCTATGTTACAATTAATCTCCAATTCTAAGCCAGTATTTGGCCTTCCAAGGTACACATTTACTTTCCATCGCACATAGTAACGATTTTCTGTCCCTGGTCCCGACTTTCCACTAGTGTAAATCTATAAAGAGCCCTCTCCAGCTCATTTTACACCAGCCGATCATCTCAGACTCTCTTTGATATTTGTGGTCTGGTGGTGTTGCGGGTCATTAAGACAGATGCTTGCGGCTACCTTGGGACAGGCGGATGTCAGTGTGGAGAAGATGTGTTTCCTTATATATGGTTTGCTGCACTCAGTGGGATCTTTCAAGGTGGGATAGACTATCTGAATGCAAAGTGCAATTGAATGCATGGACTGTCACAACTGTTGGGCTGGAAGGCACCTAGAAGGAGCTCATTTTTCTTATGAGATGACAGATCAACTCTATTTGTGTTGCTCTGGATAAAAGTTTGTCTATCCTGCTCTTGTAGATCTGGAGTTTTGGAGAATCTCTGCCCTGAATGAATAAGAGATTTCAGACTTCGCCATTGTGCAGTGTGCCAATTTTAGTAGTAGTTATCCTTAGCATAAATTTTATCATTTTTATTGAAACGTTTTAAAACTAGCACCTGCAAGCCTGGAATGAAGTGAGCATTGTAGGCATATTATTACAGTAAATTTTGAAGTTTCTAATCACTGGGACCCCTCTCTCTTCCCCATTTCTCAGCCCTTGGAGGAACAACAGCAAAAAAAAAGAACAAATAAATCAAAATGTGATGCAAGTTCAAAGAATCCTGTGGGCATTCATTTAAAACAACAGCAAATAAACACCCCCACAAAAACAACAACAAAAAGGAACAAGCAGGCAAAAAAACCCCAACCCTACCCAAGATTTTAAAGCAGCTTTCATGCTGTAAGGTTTGACTAAGTTTAAATGTTTGTAATAGGAACTACTACTAGAGTGGGAACCAGTAAAGAAATGCATGGGCCAGTTTACCTGCTCAACTCACATGAGAAACAAACATTACTCTGCCCAAACTGGAAGCAGATAAGCTGCACACAGCATCACGCAAGAAGAGATGCATACAGCCATCACTTGTTTAAGAGGGCACAGATTGGGAAGAGGACACAAGAACATTTGGACGATGTCTGTTATTCACCCATTCAGGGCGACATCAGCCTCTGAAGAACACCTGCACTTAGAACCAAGATGCTGAAGAGCCTCTCAACTGTGTCTGAAGGGAGAATTGGGCTCTTAATTGCCTAGCACGGCTGTACGAGAAAGGTGTACAATAATAATAATGCAGCAGATGAGAAAGCTAGCTATTTGAATATGACATCCTTTGTCAGCTTTATTTCACTTAATAATGTGACATGGCTTGGAGAGGAAAAAAATGATTAACCTTGCCATTTTTTAAGCCTGAATTGCTGGGAGTTTTTCTGCTGAAATTCATGTCCTCAACTTTCTTTGATATTTAACAAATTCATAGTTTTATCTCCATGGAAGCTTGTTTCAGGAGGGAAAAAATCTAAATGTGTGTGTGGAGGGGGTGGGGGGAGAGCATTGAGCAAGCCACCATTTGGGAGTTGGGTGTAAAGTAGCCTGGCATTGATTAACGTGGTTAAAAGAAAGTGGGAGGGGAAGTGTACTGAAAATGAGTGAAAGAACGGTATTGTAATCTGCTTTATTGCATTCCCGAGATGCTTGACTTAGCCTCATTGTCATAGCAAGATGATGTGTACCCTACGAGTGTATAAAAATATATGAACTCCTGGGACAATATAGTTCAATCTGCTCTGCTATTACCCATCATGCTCATCTGAGCACACTACAGCTATTAGATCTGTTTGTGAAACAGCTGAGCCCATGGATGGATCTCCTGCAAATGGAGCCTGAATGTACAGTTGAGACAGGATCTGAATGTACAATACATGGAGGGAGGAACAATGGGATAGAATGGGAACAACTGCACAATGAGAGGTGCAAGAAGAATGCATCTGTTCCAACTGTGGATACGTAATAGTAAAATAGACAGATTGCCATCTATAATTCATGGTGTTTTCTTCCCCTTCCCCTTGTCAGATAGCCCTCAATCAGTTTGACTTGCAGGAGCTATACTTCACTACTGAAAGTTGTTAAAAGGCTGCCATGTTCTGTCTCAGAGGTAGCTGCATTTACAAGACAGGAACTGAGCCATGTATGTACAGAAAATTATGTCCCGTGCTGTCTTTCCCTGTTTAGAGGGACTGAAGTGGAGCCACCTCTGGGTGAACAACATTAATGCCAAATCAGCTCACTGCAGACTATGTGCAAAGACAAAACAGACTACATCCAAGAACTAAGCTCCCTTGTAAAAAGATGTTAAAAGCTAATAATGCATACAAAATCTTACCATTCTTAAATAGATACTGTCACATTACTAATAGAAATTCATTGTTAAGGTACTGGAAGACAACTGTTGTGCCACACCTGCAACTAACATTACTAACTCTCATGTTTGGTTATCAGTGGCACCATGAAATAATTCAGTAATGTTCTTTTAATTCCACATTACATTCATTTTTACAGACACTTTTTTTTTTTTTTTTCTGATGATGGCACTGCTTGACAGACTAAAAAAATACTATATTATAACACATCTGCATCCCCCTAATTTCATCTGAAACAGTATTTCCTTCATTCTTACTGTTGAGTTTGGAAGAATTGTATAATACCCCAAATATTTCTTGTCTTTTCCTGAGATACTACTCTCCACTAGGAGAAGAAATTATTAAAAAAAAAAAAAAAAAAAAAGAACTGAAAAGAAAAGAAAAAGAAAAGAAATGAAAAAAGAAAAGCTTGTCTTGTTATTTCCTTCTCTGGATAATTGCATTTTCCATACCTCCTCTTTCAGAGGCATTTACAGTGAATTCTGCCTTCCACTGCTTCTATTGATTTGTAGCTCTGCAGGGTGAAAACCAGACCCTGGCAAAGCCAAAGGGAGTTTTGACTTCATTCTTTAAGAACAAATCCACTGGTGTGCTGGATCAATGCAACGAGTCTGAGCGCTGGCCTGTTAAACTGGATTTGTAACTGCTGCTCAGAGCTACAGCTATGCAAGCAGCCGAACCATGCTGCTGAACTTTGTCTTTACTTTTTGACTGTTTTTTTTTTTGTTGTTGTTGTTGTTGTTTGTTTGTTTCTTTTTTTTTTTTTTTTTTTTTTGTAACTGGGTAATCTGGGTTAGTGGCAAACGAAGGTCTGGGACAGACCTTTTCAACTCATGCAGTTGGTTTGTGCATTTAGAGTTGCCCACTTGGTCTAGCCCTGTGACTGTAGTTCAAGCTGGGTTTTATGAAAAGGTTCTTTTCCAGAGGGTGGTTGCCCCAGAATGGTTTCCCCAGGACAGTGGTCACGGACCCAACCTGCCATAGTTCAAGAAGCGTTTGGCAAAATCTCTCAGACATATGTTTCTATTTTTGTGTGGTCCTATGTGGATCCAGGGGTTCAGTTTGATGGTACAGTTCGGCCCCCTCCAATTTTGCATATTCTAAGATTCTACAATTCAACGATTCTGTGAATGGGGAGCCTCGTTCTAAGCCTCCCAAGAGTGCTTTGAGAAACCCTATTGTGGACAAAACTTAGGATCTGCCATTGTGCTACTTAGCGGTGTGAGCTTCAGGGCCATACAAAATTTTTCAAGCGCCAGTGCCCCTACTGGCCAGCATACAGTGGTGGACTTTGTATAACAGAAGATGGATTGGGTCCAAATGAAGTGAAGTAACTCCCTGCATATCTGGCAGAACTCCAGCAACCAAATTCCTGACAGAGAAAGGGATGGGGTCCATTGCATCATCTCTGAGATCATACCAAGCTTAAGAGCTGAATAAGCTGTTGACCTTGGCCTGTTTGCTGCCTATACCATCAGAGCAGACAAATACAATTGTTAATAGCATAGCCTAATTACTTCCTAATTTCTTCAAGAATACCCCAAGCATAAGAATTCAATTAACTGCAACTATAAGGAAAGTTTGAAGTCTGAGCTATTCTCTTATTGACATCATTTGGATGAAGAGAATGTGAGCACAGATGCTACATTTCTTAAAGAATCCAATTTTTAATTAATTTTAACTTATAAATTAATGAATAAGTTTCTCTTAGAAACTCTCTGAGAATTACTTCCATTTTCCAAAAGTAAGAATGTTAAGCTTGAGAAGGATAAGCTGTTGTTTACTTGCAAAACAAAGAGACAGGATCCCTGTCTTCACTGCAGGTAGAATTTTTTGGAGTATCACATCCAGACTACACTCCTGCTTTTATTAAGCTTCCTTATACTTCCCCACATGAGTAACATGAAACTGTCAGCAACTTGTAGGAAATGCATGGAACTGTGATAGTTGATAAAGGTTTGCCAGTTTTTCCTTCTTTTCCTTTCAGTCTTACTCCACTTCCACATGAAGTTGTTCATTAGCAGCAGTTTAGTTTGTACAATCTTTGCAATACCTGATGACTGTCTTAAGATACTGACGAAGGGATCCCATCCACTGCATGTGCAGCAGGCTTGATGTTTAATGATCAAACCTCTTGGTTTTGGCAGGGAATGTGTGGAGATGAAGCAATGGGAGTATCAAGTTTGCATGGGCTAAAAACAAAAATGCATTAGTAACAAAAGACCAGGCAGTGGTAATACAAGGCCTAGCACAAGTAACACCATCACCTAATCACCTATTATCACCACATGGGGAAAATGGTCTGTGGGTAATCACACACCATCAACTCTGCTACGTATCTGCAAGCATCACTGAGAGGTATTTTCAATACCTGACCTGATGATATGAACATGAACTGCATCCAAATTTGTTTTCACTTGCTCCAAATAGTTGAGAAT